GAGTGTCTGTGTATTCCTTTTCAGATTCTTTTTCATTATAGGCTATTACAAGATATTAAATATAGTTCCCTGTGCTGTACAGTAGGACCCTGTTGTTTATCTGTTGTATATATGTGGTGTGTATCTGCAAACCCCAAAGCCCCAGTTTATCCCTCCACCCCTGACTTCCCCCACTGGTATACAAACTATAGATGCTTAAGAGGGTGTGGAGAAAAGGGAACCCTCCTACACTGTGGGTGGGAATGTAATTTGGTGCAGCCATTGTGGAAAACAGCCATTGTGGAGAGTCCTTAAAAAACTAAAAATAGACTTACCCTATGATCCAGCAATCCCACTCCTGGGCATATGTCTGGAGGTAATTCTAATTTGAAAAGATACATGCACCCCAATGTCCATAGCAGCACAATTTACAATAGCCAAGATATGGAAACAACCTAAATGTCCACCCACAAATGACTGGATAAAGATGTGGTATATTTATACAGTGGAATACTACTCAGTCACAAAAAAGAATGAAATAATGCCATTTGCAGCACCATGCATGGACTTAGAGAGATTATCATACTAAGTGAAGCCAGAAAGAGAAAGAAAAATACTATATCACTTACATGTGGAATCTAAAAAAAGACACTAATGAACTTATTTACAAAACAGAAATAGACTCACAAACATTACTTTTAAATCATGTCATAAACATACCTATATGCACTTTTGTAGATGTTAAACTTATTTTGCATTTTTGTGAATATCCTGGATTGATTATGCACACTGCACAATGATTAACTCAGAAGTGATTTTCACAATATAGATTGATACATCTTATTTTCTAGTTTATTTTTATTTTATTTAAATTTTCTTGGGGAGGGGGAAGTAATTAGGTTTATCTATTCTACTTTTTTAATGGGGGCACTGGGGATTGAACCCAGGACCTCGTGCATGCTAAGCACGTGCTCTACCACTGAGCTTACTCCTCCCCCCTTAGGTTGATACATTTTAATATGGTAGATATCTTTAAGGTAACAAGTACTTGCTCATAAATGGGGAGATGTAGTTTTGAAAGCACTGGATCACAGCACAAGCATAAATGACTTCATGACCTGTTCTTGGAATCCTTGGTTAACACAGGTAATAACTTTGTCTAGCTTGGTTCCTTTCGAACAAGTCCCATTCCTCAGTATCCTCCTTTTCCTTTTCATCGCGGGTATGGAACTTGTTCAGTTTCAAGTAAGGGTAACCTACTCAAAGCAGATAAACCAGGGAGATTTTACCTGCTGCAGTCACCAGTTATCCCCGGGAGTCTGACCCTGAACTCTGGATCCAGGGTTCAGATGCAGCACTAGGATGGCTTCTCCATCTCTTAGATCTCTGAGTTGGCTTCCACATGAGAGGTTAGTCCCTGGCGAAGGCAAGGATGGCTGGGCATACATCACGCCTCAGCTTGTCAGCTGACAGGCAAGAGTTCCTATATGAACCCCTGAAAAGATGCTGACTGGAATTCTGTCAGTCACTGTGGCTGGGCTGAATCCCACACACCCAGGACAGGAAGGCAGAGCCTTACCAAGGTCTCCTAGGGATGGAAAGAGGCATTTTCTAAAGGAAAAGGATACAGAACAGAGGGCAAAAACAAGCAGATAAAAAGTAACTTCCTGGCCACGAATAAGACCTTACCTGCTTGTACTTTTCTAACTTAATAGGCCTTAATGATTTTCATGAGTGAAAAACCCTGGCTAACTGGAAGATGCATGTATCTTGAAAAGAGGCTTCTAGGCCAAATGGCTACAATGTGTGGAAAAGCTATCCCATCAAACCCCACCTCCCACTCCCCTCCTCCAACCACAAAAAAAACTCTGTTGCCACTTCATCTGAGTATCCTTCATGGGAGACAAAGTATTACTGAGTAGTCCTATCATTTGATTTAACCATGATGGGTCTTAGTTACAAGTGAGTGAAGGTGGGTTTTACTAGATTGCTTTTCCCACCATCTGTGTACCAAAATAGTATCTGCCCCCACAACTCCTTTCTCACGTGTTGCAAACCGTCCCACTTCCTTCCTGGAACAGGCAGAGAAGCTGCCCACAATAGTGGCTGCATGCCTTTATCACTGCTTTTCTTTCCCCAGAGTCCTTACCTGCTCTTTGCATTAGGTTGCATTAGAAAATTTAAAACCTTCCGCTGGTACTGCAAGAACTTCCGTGAATGAAGAAGAGGTTGAAGTAGATAATAGAGATGATTAGAGCTGCTTAGCAGGCATTTGCTACCAAGGAGATGAAAGAAAGCAATTAATTACTCAGAAGCATCTAAAGAGTAGTTGATAGTAGGCATGTCTTTGTTCAGTGCAGCTGAAATCTTAGCTAGTTTGGTTTTTGCCTCAAAGAATTTTTTTCTTGGGGTGGGGGAGGTGTCTAGTAACAAAAGGATTAAGAATATTAACATAAAATGTTTGAAAATGTTTTTCTTTTTTAACTACTTGTCTTTATTCCTTCAATACCTGAACAAAAAGTCACAAATATATTCAAATCACACTGAATTTACTGAAAACCTGAATGTGTATAATTGCTAAGGCATGGTGTCACTGCGAAGTTAAAAAAATCATTGAAAATATATTTTTATCTCCCAAACAAGAAAATCAACGTTGAATTTCACTTTTCAAAGAACATAACTTTAATAGTACCTTGATAAAAATTTTCCAGACTTTTCTTGGATGTTTGTGTACAAGTGTTTCACTGCAGTGAACATTTTTCTAACAGCTTTGAACAGTCCTCAAATACATTTGGCCCTCTATATCTGCAACGTAGGCATCCAAAAATACAGGTCTGCAGATCGAAAATACTAAAAAAAAAAAAAAAAGAAGAAGAAGAAGAAGAAGAAGAAGAAGAGGAAGAACCCAGAAAGTTCCAGAAAAGCAAAACTTAAATTTGCCAAGTGCTGGCAACTATTTACGTAGCAATTACATTGTGTTTACAACTATTTACATAGCATTTACTTTGTATTAGATACTAAAGTAATCTAGAGAGGATCTGCCCTATACGGGAGGATGTGCAGATGTGTGTAGTTACATGGAAACACTATGCTATTTTGTAAAAGGAACTTAAGCATCTGAGGAGTTTGGTATGCTCTGGAGTCCTGGGACCAATCCCCCACAGATAGCAAGGGAGGACTGTCTTCCTAATATAAACCCCCTGGAGAGAAACAAATCATTAGCAACTACCATCAGGCCCTGTGCTAGGTATTTGGCAAACTCATCTTTCTTGGTCCCCTAAGGCCTTGGTTAGTAATCTCATTTTGTTGATTTGGAAACAAAAAGGAGTCTCAAATCACCTTTCCCAGTGTCATGCAGGTTTCTAACCAAAGTCCAGATGACTCCCTAACCTCTACTTTTTCAAGGACACCATATCCAGGTTCTTTCTGCATCAGCATGTGGTTAAGAGCAGAGAAAGATAATAAATGCATAGGCCTCAGGGTTTTGAGGGGATTAAATGAAGTAATATGTAGACCACTTGGAATAAATCTGACCCATAGTTACCTTTGCAATAATCATTAGCTGTTGTTTACATTTATTATTAGTGTTAGCGTTGTTGTTATTACCATTATCACCATTTTCCCCCGCAAACATCATGGCTTCCTGTGTCAATCTAAGGTGGTTTAGGGGTCTGGGCGACTTCTCTATGCAATGCCTAAAACTTCATTCTAATCCTGTCATCTTACATCTGTATTTTCTCACCTGCATTCTTCTGCACACAGTGTAGAGAGGGATTTTAAAACTTAAAACTAGTATTTTCTCTCATCTATTTTGAGTATGACAATCTGTAAAGATGCTAGTGACAGACACTGCTGATTTTCAGTCTCAAGGGTAGCTTGACCTGTGGGACTTCAAGTGAATACCTTAGCGAGAAAAACACTAAAAAAACAGCCTAGTTGCTGACAGTAGCTTTCATCTTTTTTCCTATTTCTCTATTATCTCTTGGTTGCTGATTATTTTTTTTAACTTGGGGTACAACTGATCCCTCTTAAGGGACCTTTTTGCAAAATTCTCTATTGTAGGTTTCTTTGAACTTGAGTTTAAATTTTAATTTGCAAGGAAACTGAAGCAGATGAATTTTCTCATTGTGGGAAAAAAAAAGATTGCCTTGATGATATATTTGTTTTCTTAGTAGGCGTCTGCCATTAAGATTGATGCTTGAGGATATTGTTAGCTCTTATGTGGAACAGAAAGTTATTACTCATAGTTTACCAGATTTGGGCATACTTGCAACACAACACAAAATATCATTTTTACATTTAGTATTGCCATTTCCAGTGCCACTTACGGACTGCATTTCTGTATTGAATTACAACAAAAATTTTATGCTAACATTTAATGAAACTTTAATAAGGTTGTGTTTTGGTACTATTATCAAATAATGTGTTTTGAATTGCTTTCCTTTGAATATATTTGCATTAAAGAGGAACTCAATTTGATTTGGTTCTTTGAAGTTTACCCACTTTCTGGTAGCTTTAGAAAGACAAAAGGAAACTCAGTTTCTTCTTTACAAGTCAGTAAAAAGAAAAGGAACACATTTGCTAAGATCTGAGGAAGTAATGGCAGCAGAATGCAGATAGTTTGAATTAATGAAATGACTCATGTCGTCTATTAGAGATGCACAATTTACACACACACACACACACACACACACACACACACACTGCACATATCATAGATTATGAGGGATGATACCCTTGGAATCTCTTTTCTTTCCCATTGAACCCTAAGGCTGACCTATTAATTAAGAAATTTTAAGAGATTCACATTATTGCAATGCTTGATCTGTGATGCCCAAAATTAAATGGTAACCTCCTGAGAGAGCATGTTTCTCTGCTGGTAGCGTTCTTACCTATTTCTGCTAAATCGTGGTCGGGGCCCAAGGCAATTTACATGAACACGTGCCTTCTAAAAGATAAACTCATTTGACCAAGCAGAAACACGCCAGTGAAACGTGCTTTATGGGGGCCGTGTCTAGCTGATGGAGTTTATTATGCACGGAGTATCAATAGCGAAAAGATGGGGACAGTCGCGCTGGCGAGGCAAGCCTTTATTTACCATTTTTAAAAAACAAGACTCTCAGGGGCTTTAGGAAAAGTAACTGGTGATAAGTGGTCAGGAGGGTTTAAACTTGAACGAGGGGAGGGACTGGACAGGGCAAAGTAAACTAGTAATCATCAGGGTTTTTTGTTCTTTTTTACGCCCAGTTTTGTGTAGAAAGAAACGCTTTTTGTCACCTTATTTTTTTCTCCCACGTTCATCCTCTGAATGTTTTCCACCTAAAAATACTCCCGATTTCAAAACTCTCAATACTTACTGTCTACAGGCCTTGCCTGAGCCTGTGTGGTCCTAAACTAGCCGCACGCTCGCTTAGGAATTTTGGTTCCTGTTCTCTCTGTCTGGTTTGGTAAGGATGACACTTCAGTTACGATAAAAAAGCTGGGACACACCTGCTGCGCGAAAACCCCAACTAGTCTCCGCCGACGCGCGGCAGCCGGCCAACTCCTAGGCGCTGGGCGCATCGCGTGACGCAACACGCAACCCCGTGACGCAACGCGCAACCCCCCGTGACGCAACGCGCAGC